TTCCGAGCCGAACACAAGCCGAACACGAACACGAATATTTAAATTGAGTCGAACACGAACATTTAGCTGCTCACGAGCCGATTTCGAACACGAGCCGATTTTGAATACGAGCTATTCCGAACGAGCCGAACACGAGCCAAGCCTGAGCTCGCTCAAGCTCGGCTCGTTTACAACCCTAGTTGTGTGTAGCAAAATATGGTGAAAGATATTTTTTAACGGCGAATATGATTTTTTTTTTTCATATCAACCGATCAAAATATTTAATATAATATTTTAAATATTTAAATTTTAAATATAATAATTTAATACCTTTTGCCTTAAATTTTTTTTAAACTCACTCATAAAATTTTAAGTACAAAATTTAAATGAATAAAAATGTTATATTTAAAATTTTCAATAATTAAATTATTATATTGAAATTGTAAGCGATTAGAATATCATATTAAATATAATGGATGATCGATACATGGATTTATTTGTTTTAAAAGTTTTGGGGTCCCCCTGAATTAAACTGCATTAATTTATATTAATTGTATTATTATTTATTAAGATTTGTTGATTATCTTGCTAATTAAGTGGGTGATTTAGGATCTGTTTGGGGTAGCTTGTAAGTGCGGGGGTATTTTTTAAAACGTCGTGGTACCGTTTGGATCGCACGTTTTACCCTCTTATTCGAAAATGAGGTTTCATTTTTACACTAAACACAGGGGTCAACCCGGAGTCAACATTTCAGGGTAAGCTGTCTATCTTGAAACATACAGACTCCCCAAACGCAACCTTAAAGGAGGGCTTGAGAAGGTCCGAATGGCTTTTCTCTGGCAAATCCAGATTGGACTTGTACTCATTTGACATTATGAAAAATCCCAATGCGCTTAACTGGAAGATCACATGAGAGCATACAACTAAAAAAATAGTTTATATCTGGATTCTGGTTGTCTGGACAACGGCCCAGATGTAGCGGAGGAGGGAAGAATCAGAGCTCCGCCCTCTCGCTGCATCTGCGCCGTTATCCGTACATCCGGAGTCTAGATGTAAAATTTTCTCTACAACTAAATGGATACAAAGTAAGGAATATGAGTTAAATGTGCTAAACAACTCGGTCCTATGAAATAGACGTAGTTAGAGTAAGGAAACTCACTGAGACAATGTTGGGCTTTAGAATGGATGAAGGAAAGGAAACATGACAGCTGGTAGGAGTGGTGGTCCAATAAGATTATGTGCATTTTATTTCTTTTTAGAATTCTTGGAAAAAGCGTTAAGTAGCGCATTAAGAAATTTAATGTCCATAAACAACTCACGTTTGACACATTAAGTAATTCAAGTTTAAATCATTCATTAATTAAGCGAGCGCACACAAATAATTTGTGAAATGCAAATTTATATAGTCCGAAAATAGCACTTAGCTAAGACGGATGAATCACCTTCGTTGGAGACACGTCCGTAACTGAGCATCAATCGGGACGACCATCTTCATCCATTCAGTTGGCTAGCTAGGCCGGCCACAAAAGTTTCAGCCAACGAGCCATCATGGCCGGCCAACCCCAGTAAGCTGCTCACAACCAACTAGCCTTTCAACTTAGGCCGAACAACACCAGTCGGCTGCTTGGGCCGGCCGCCGAAGCCCACTTAGGGCCGCCACCTCTAGCGTGTCGGCCGCCTGGGTCAGCCACTCAACGGCGGCGAGTCCAACAACAAGAAAGCTCCAGGATGACACATCTGTGCATAGAAAGGCCCTAGCGGCATTGCAATGTCAACAAATTTGATCATCCAACATGAATCGAGAGGTGTTGCACAAATTTCAATGAAATTTTTTAAGAAACAAATATTAAAACTTGAATTAAAAATCAACTCGAACTTTGATTTTAGTAAACTTATAGTCAAACTGACCGACTTGATGAGATGAACCAAGTGGTACCAAAATTGGTATAATCTGAGTCAAGTCAAACCCAAATCAAGATACTAAACTACTTTTAGAAGCTTTCTAGACATAATTGAAAAGTCAAATGAATTCTAAATGTGTCATGTTTATATTCAAATCAAATATCTCAAAAAGACGAATTCAAAAGTCAAAGATCACTCAATTCTAATATAATTAATGAACTAAAATGTCCATCAAATGAAAGAGGACATGCTTGGATGACTTTTAACCAAGAATGATCACGATTCATTCTTTATTTGCAACATGAACTCTATATTAAAGCCCTATGCCCTCATTAGAGAGGGACTAGACTCTGGCCTAAAGGAAATTCGGAGCCTGAAAAAAGAGGGAGCTGAAGCCCAGAATCATGCACTGATAAAATAGACTTGCACCTCCCACTCTTGCAGTCGTCAACAATCGCCAACCACCAGCGGCCTCCTACACCTGCAGCCGCCCAACATCGTCAAACACTGAAAACTTCATGAACTTGCTGCCTCCACCCACCATCGACTCCCACTCGTTGGTCTTCATCGACCACCACCGGCCTCTCGCTCCTGCAGCCACCAACCAACACCAGTAGTCTCCGCATTCCAACCATGATTAGTATATAAAATAAATATCATGCGACTAAAATTAAAATGATAAAACATCTCTCAATAATTTAATGATGGGGATGCTCAAATTTATTGATGATCACAATCAACTGTGATAGGAAGAAGATAAGGTTGAGAATTCTTGATATTTATAAAGTTGAAAGAATCGAGAGAGGAAAAGAGGGTGCGCAAGCGCGTGTGTGATGCAAATGAAGTTGATCACAATGAGAGAAGAGATATGGAGAATCATGTGATTCGCACTCGATTGGAATGGCAGAGGAGATCATGAGTGTTCGAGGTCTTTGACCTGCTTGATCTAGGCACAAAGCTTAATTTGGTCTTCTCATGATTCACATTACAGCAATTCAATTAATATCTTTTGTTAACTTTCCATATGTAAGTAAAACTGAAATAGCTATAGAAATAAATGCTAAGCTTGCCTTTCATCCATGGTAACCAAGAGAACCAGAAGGAGAAGATGAATGAAATTGTATTATAAAATGGAATGAAGTTACAACATAATAGAGATAATTTTCCCCCTGTTTCTTACGCCAAAAAACTTACAAGCACCTTAATATAGAGACATATAATATTGTTCTTGAAACAGTTAGTTAAAGGGTATAAAAGTAAAAATATTTAATAGGTAGTGGATACCTCCCTTGTTATGATTTAACTGGTAGTGGAGAGCTCCTTGATACCATTATTATCGCCCCTCAAGCCGATGCGCCTTTGAAGCGTTAGCTTGTCACGAAGAAAATTGAAGTGAGAGGTAGGAAGAAACAAAGAAAATATAATAGTCGGTTGCTATGTAGTAGGTATATGACAAAGAGACTTTGTTGGACTAAATTTTCTCTTGAATAAAATGGTAATAAGTTTCTATATGCTTCATTTTGACATGAAAGACGGGATTATGAGCAATCTCCATTGTAGAAATGTTGTCACAACATATAGAATTAGGAGATGAAATCGGAACTTGTAGATCTTGAAGTACTTGTCGGACCATATCACATATGTGGTTGTTGTAAAGAGAGCGTGATATTCTGCTTTGGTAGATGAAGGAGTGACGGTGGGTTCTTTTTATACATTCTAGTATATGAGATTGGGCCCGAGAAATGTATAGTGATCGGTGATTGAGCGATGATCAGTTGGATCGCTAGCCCAGCTTGAATCGGAGTAACTGTGTTGTGTGAGATCTCCTGGTTGAATGGGGAGCCCGAAATCTCTGGTTTCTTGAATGCAATGAAGAAGTTGTTTAAGTTGTTTGAAATGCAAGAATAGGAGCTGTTGATTATGTTGAGATAGAGAATTGCCTACAAATTTTATGTCAGGTCGTGTTATGGTAAGATATTGTAGAGCGCCAAGAATACGACAGTAAAGTGAGAGGTTTGCGAATTCATTTTGATGTTGGGGTGAAGTTATTTTGTGAGAGGTCATATGGTTGGGTAATGCCTTACAATTGGCCATGCCATCTTTGGTAAGGATGGAGGATGCATATTGAGCTTGAGTGAGAAATAAACTTGTGGATGTATGAATAATATTGATGCCAAGAAAAGTAGAGGGTGATCCAATAATTTTCATTGAGAAGCCACTTTTGAGATCAGCTAGCGACTTTTGAATATGTTTAGAATTATTGCCGGTAACTAAGATATTATCATTGTATAGTAATAAGTATGTATGTGTGAAATCATGATCGTAGAGAAATAAAGATGGATCGGCTTGACTTCTATGAAAGCCTAAATGAAGTAGGTGGCTCGTGAGCTTGTGGAACCATTGGCGGGGAGATTGTTTTAGGCTATAAATGGACATTTTTAAGTTGAAAAACGTAATGTGGATTTTGTTTATCCACATATCTCGGTCGTTGATGCAGGTAAATGAACATCGTGAAGAAAGGCATTTGATATTTCAAGCTAAAAGAGAGACCAATTTCTTTGAACTGAGATGGCTAGCAACATTCTATTAGTTGGATGTTTGGGTACCAGGCTGAATATATCGATGTAGTGTAAGCCAAAGTCTTATCAATAACCTTGAGCCGCTAAGCGCACTTTGTACTTGGACATTGTAC